CCGATGTTCCGGATCTTCCGGTGGGTCATCTGGTGACCACTTGAAGCCATTGAATCGCTTATGTATCTAAAATCATTAATTTACTACATTTCATATAGTTGCAGAGAATAATCAAGGCCTACTTTGATAAAAAAAATACATAATAAACCAGATTAAGGTTGATCCGGGTCATCGGAAGGCCTTCTGGTGGACGCTCAGTAGTTAGAACCAGGTTATGGGTTGATTTTGTTAAAATATTAATCAGCACTACCCATAGATGCCTGTTGCTGTGGATTTCCAGCACCACCTTGTTCTAGACGACTGGTACCTTTTCTCCCCCCGATGGCCTCTCGGAAACCCGGAATAAAACCGGAACCACTTGGCCAATCTGTTCCAATTTTTAGTAGACCATAATTTCGAACATTTTTCTACTCACAGTGAAAATTTCAACCAATTTCATTGTTAAACAAAAAAGTTATACCTATGCAAACATTGCTATTCGTATACCTGTTCGTAAAAATAAAAACTGCACAAGCGCGTTAGGCCCTCCCCAGAAGTAAAGCAAGTGGTGTTCGTTTGAAACGCTAATAACTTTTCGGGGGTAACTCGGATTCACATCCGGTCTTGAGCCAAGATGTTCCCAATACTCCAAAGGTGCTACATTTTGTACACGAAGAAAATCAACCCACTACAGCGCCACCTAGAGCCGCGAATGTGTCGATTTTCCCCATACAAACTTCAAGCCGTTTGAGCGAGGGGTTCCCGTGAACCAAATCACTTCAAATTTTGGCAGGGTGTTTCTGACCCCCAAAACTACCATTCCAGAGGGTAGCGTTTGAAATTCCAGGCTTTGACTTTTTTCCATATAACGCTGAAACACTCTAATGTCGCCTGCTGGGGACACCGTTCAGTACGTAAGAGTTTACGACCTAACACCAGGAGTCCCGGATAGCGATCTAGCATTGGTTCTAGGGAAATACGGTGATGTAAAGCTTTCAGATGTGTGAGGTCTATATGTGGATGTAAAAAAGGAGATTCCCAATTCGCTGCATTTTCTCAATCGGAAGGGGGACATATTGCAAGTAGATGCAAGTAGATGCGAAATTCCCTGAGTTTTTTTTTAAGAATTTTAACGGAGGTTTGCGATAAGAAAGCGTTATTAAAATGCATTTAAAATATTTTATTTTTGGAATAACAACAACAACGGAAATTAACGTTCTCGTTTTTAAGACATGACAATCAGCTTTACTATCAAATGCATCAAATGCTGCAGATTCACATTTACTTTAATATAGTTTGTCGAAGATCTCATAATATTCAATGTCTTGAAGTTTCGTATTTCAAGCACAAGTGCAAGTAATTCTCGTGACACTTGAGTCTGTTAAATAGACGAAGTAGAACAATGGTGTTTCGAAGCTTGTTTGTTTAGATAATATGTTTTACATTGGAGTGTTTTTTTTTAAATTCAATGTCGATTAGTTTTAAAGATTTCATCAAACGTGTTTCGAATGTTTTCAAAACCAAGTGTTTAGACTTAATCGTTATTCTTAATATTAATTTTTCACATTTTATTCTTTTTTTTTATTGCATTATCTTTTCTTAAATTTGTAACATTTACGATTGAACTGTTGGTGAAATAACCGAATCAGCAGTATTATTATGACACATGTTGCTAAATGTAAACACGCATACCATTGGCGATGACGGCGGAGATGCGTTGAAGGGATAGTAAGGTACTAAAGAAAAACACGTTCAAACCCATTTTAGTTTCAGGTTATTTATTTGCTAATTGCCACGTAAGTCTAATCTGTAGTAGTGATTTTTGTTAGGTTTTGACCTTTTTAGTACTGGTTGCCTTTATTTTCTAATGCTGTTTATTTTAAGATGACTTCCATCATAGGTTTTGTTCGTGATTAACCCATACTAGTAAATAAATATTGCTTTTGCAATTATACATCATTTCTATTGCCTACTTATCGTCGATGAACATTGAAACAGGACGAATTGAAGACTGGCAGTTTTTGATCCATTGGGAGCAAATAATTCCGTAAAGTTAAAGAACAGGGCTTAGTCGATTAGTTGTTAAAGAAACTCCAGGAGCGAAATCTGGTTATCCAATTCAAACAGTAGTGTTTGTTTTAAGATTTTATTCACACTATTTATATCATTGAACCGATTTGATGTTAGTGTATTAGATACCGAAAATAGAATATTGCAAAGAGGTTGTTGAACTTCAACATAGTTTTCAGTAATCTTCAGATGAGCTAAGCTAACCTTGACCATTGAATCTGACATTTTACTTACATAAATTTTTTGAAAAGTACTCTCTGACCTCTGATTTGCTAACGCATATAATAAACATTATAAGTGACATCACTGGGAACAAAATATCAATAGATCCATCGAAAAAGAAAACTATGACTATCCCTACAGTGTACTGAATTGTTAAAGTGATGCACATTAAAATCGCAAAAAAAAACCATTTTCTATATTTGCCTGGTAGAATACTTTTGCTACTTGCCAAACCCAAGAATACTATACTAACAACTGGAAGCAATATCATAACTCCAAGCAAAATTTCATATCGTTCATAAATTACGAAAAGCAAGTATATTGCTCCTGAAATTCCCCAGCCATAAACGCAACTCAGGAAAAACCTATTTCTCCCAGCTTCATCTGCATCTTCATCGTTGGAATATCGAGACGACATATAGCAATCAAAGCACATCAAATTCATCCACACCATGCTGAGTATAGCACCAAAGAATTTCTTATCGCTGTCTACTAGCAAGCCAATGAACATTAAAATGCTGCCAACCATCACGAAACAAACTTTGCATCCATGCAAATTGCGAAGGTTTGGTACTATCAAATAAATGGCCAGCACTATAATTGGTAGCACAGTACAGATGCTTATAACTGAAAAATGAATATTATGCGGTGTTTGTTTGTCCAAGTAAATTTCAAACCAACCTGCAGTGTCATCCTCCATTTTGGTATCTTTGTAACACTCCTAGAGTTTCTATTGAGCTTGCAAGCTGGACACGCACTGACGACTAAATCTGGCTACTTGGAATATAAAATCCTAGCAAAAGCACACTCAGCATGAGAAGACAATCTAAACCTGTTTTGGGCAAGACGATGGTGTTTTAATGAATAAATTGGTTGATGTTAAGGCAGGGATTCCCCCGATCCCCTCTGTGGTATGTGGTGAGTACAATTTCGAGAATCGAAAAAGATATCATTAATTCCGAGCAAAGTTTTTCGAGTTTGTATCCAATGTTTGTGTTCGTTCATTCACATTGATTTGAGCCTAAACTCTGGAACGCACAAAAATTATTCAACTTCAAATTGGTGTATTTCTGTTTAAAATGCATAAACATCCAGAAATGCTGCATTTGGAAGTTGAGTGTATATACAATGGTTGCTATGATGAGTTTTCACCGTTTGCTCTCCAGTTTTCAAAATGAAGTCCAAGCAAGAGGAGCAGCGTGTCAAAATTTTGTTCGCGCAGCAAAAAATCCGACGTTCTCACACGCCAAGTTGGCAAAATTGCTAGATGTGGCCAAATCGATCGTGATAAACGTTTTAAAAATCTTCGAGAGCGTCTGTCGACCGCCAGAAAGCCTGAGAGCAGCGACAATCGTAATCCGAACGTGGCAGCAACGACAAAGAAGGTGGCGGTGAAATATAAGCGGAATCCTAACCTCTCCATCCGGGACGTCGCTGGCAAGCTCAATGTCTCCCATACTACTGTGCAGCGGGCCATGAAACGAGCCGGATTGTCGACGTTTAAGAAGGTGAAGGTGGCGAACCGAGATTGTATGTATGTATGTAAGGTAGCCACCATCCCTTCAAGACTTGTCTTGTATGCAGCTCCACTTAATAGCAAGATCAATTTGAGCTACCGATCTGAATTCACAATATCGCTGTATGAAGGGCCAAAAACGGAAGGGCGGACCCGTAAGCAGAGACACTTACGCGAAATCCACGGGAATTTAAGAATCTCCTTCCAACAATACGCTCCAACAAATCGAATAACACAATTCGCAATACTTATTAAGCTTCCTACTGGATGGTTTGTTAAGAAGGGCGCGTCAATCGCCCTGAAACTGTTGGAGTAGAATTCACACCATCACAATCGAATCGGTAGGATAAAGAAAATGATAGTGTTTATTCCCTCCTAGACTCCGGTTGTCATACCACTCCATCGTCCAGTCCCAGGTCAAATGATATCCTGATGCTCCCTCCCAACCCAGTATTTATTTATATAATAAAAATATATGCAATGGAGAAATGAAATATATCCGAACATTAACATATGACACAATGAAATACATTTATATGGATAATATAGTTGCTACTGCAATGAAGAAGTATTTTACATATAAGCAGCTCTATACTTCCTCAGCTCACAATGGCACGTGAATGCAGCACTGAAATATATTGGCTATATTAAGCAATTAAATATATTTTGCTCGAATGATACTAACAATAATGCTCAAAATTGTGATGAATAACTTACATGACGAGAAATAACCTGCTTAATAATTATATACAAATAATATTATTAAATGTTATTTCCTCTGCTTCCTCAGCTTCATATTAATTTCGATGACTTGCTTGGGTAAACTGAAATATTAAGCTAATAGTAATAGTATATCATGCAATGTATAATTTATATAATATATGTAGTGAAATGTATGTAGTGAATTCAACTGACTTGATCAAGTGACTCGCCCTGTCTAAACCCAGCTTTAGAATACTCCTAGACTCCGTAAAATTGTGTTCACATGCACTCGCTTACATTTCTGTTCTCCTTTTTATTACTTCGTAGATATAACAATGAACACAATTTGTCTGACCCAACCCGTCCAATGAAAGAGGGTTATTTTCACTTACTCAAGTTATCATCCCAACTTTATAGGATAAGGTTGCACCGGTTATGACGATTTTCGCGTTTGGTTTTCGTTTGCTAGGGAAACACATTTAACTATATTTCAATTACTATTTAATTTCAGGTCTGATAATTTCCATCCCCTTCCTGGTGGCGACGCTGCTGATCTACGCATGCATCCCGGAGCTCCGAAATATCCACGGCAAATCGCTCATATGCTACGTGCTTGCACTAACCTGCGTGTATATTGTGATGCTGATGACGCACTTCGATACTTCGATTGTCCCGTGTGTAGTTCGAGCATATTTGTTCTACTTTTTTGTGATGGTCAGTTTCTTCTGGTTGAATGTGATGTGCTTTGACATTTTCTGGACCTTCAGCAGTGGCGTGTTGATCAAAAATGAGAAAAAGCGATTCCTGTACTACTCACTCTATGCCTGGGGTTGCCCGCTGATATTAGTGTCCATGGTAGCCGTTTTCGAAAACACAGAAATACTCAATGAAGATCTAAGACCTGGCTTTGGATTAAATAATTGCTCGTTTATCAGTAAGTTGGTTTTGGCAGCAGATTTGTGTGGGATCATATTGATTTGTTTTACCATTCGATTTTCAGATGAAAAGCTGATCCAATTCCTATATCTGTACCTTCCGCTGCTGATACTGGTAGCCATGAATTTGTACTTCTTCATAGTCACCGCAATCCGAATCATTCGAGTGCAGAGAGCTACGGAAGCTGTACTGAGAAATGATTCCGGACGGCACAGTCGGTTCGAGAAAGATCGCTATCGGTTCACGCTGTACCTGAGACTGTTCATCGTGATGGGTGTCACGTGGACGTTCGAAATAGTGTCCTGGGCTATGGAAAACAACATTTGGCTCTTCTACGTCACTGACATTTGCAACTGTCTGCTGGGAGTTATGATCTTCTTTCTGTTTGTTTGGAAGCAGAAGGTGCGGAAGTTGGTTGCTAAAAGGTAAGGATTTCAGAAAACTTTTACACAGTTTGGCTGTGACCAAATATAAAATGTCCATTAGTTCTGTGTATTTCAGTTGATAGAGTTGGTTATTCTACATATTATCTGTGTTCGCTCTTCGATAAGCTGCACACGCGGCGTGGAATATGGCCACAGAAAACGGGGGAATTCGGATCACTCGGACGAACTATAAATTAAACGCGTGGACTACACAGAAACGACCGTATCGTGCGGTGGTCAAAAGCCTAGTTGGCAGTTTATTCACCCTCCTTACCTAGCTTGCCCTATAGAGTCTGTGTTCGGGACAGACTGTAAAAATGCTCTCTTCTCTCCACTAACACAAATGATTACAAGTGATAAGGGCAGATAACAAAAGACATCAAGAGAAACTCTACACAAAACATCGAACCTTCTACCTAGCTATTCTAGTCGTTTTGTACTGAACAATCTGTGAAAATCAAAATCATCCTTCGAGGGTATCGTAAGATATCTCGGTTTTAAGAATTTGTGCGATTTTTCCTTACAGCGTCGGTTATTTGAATATGTTTGGGCAACTTCATTAACCTATACCTTTTTTTGGATGAATTCCTAGAAACACGAGAAATGATAAAGTATTCGAATTTTTAACAGTTATCATTCTTGGAATGAGGTTCCAGTGAAATGAAAGGCCAAGAGTTTGATATAAAACAGTAAATTGGATTTATTGAATAAAATGGCGCAACTTGCTCAGTGGCTTGTAGACAGCTATAGACTGGTACACATATTATCAACTGATACGTTATTAGGACCATCGTTGCACCTTTAACACTCCTCTTTTTATCTTTTTTTTTTTTTCCTTCGGTTTGTTTTTCCGTCGATCTTGTTTTCCGTGCTGAGCACCAATGCTACCGACGTGCCAGGAAGGCAGCTCCCACACCTAGACCCTACCTATCGACTCATCAACTCATGAACCGGGGACCAACGGCTTTACGTCCCATCCGAAGGAAGGCGTGATCAGAGATGTTATGCCTCAGAACATCTCGGCGGCGCCGACTGGGATTGAACCCAGGCCTGCTGGGGTCAGAGGTAATCACGCTTACCTCTACACCACCGGCGCCGTTATCACACTCCTCTTCAACGAACATGTTTTGCTCACGATGATAGACCTAGCATTCCAGCCAGCTTATGGTGCTTGATGATACCTAATGGCTTAGTCAAAATATCAGCCACCATATTTCCCGTTGAACAGTACTCTAGATCCAGCACCTTGTCTTCGAATAGCTGCTTTATGTAGTATTGCCTTGTTTAGACATGCTTGGATAGACGAGTAGCCCTTTCTGTACCGACAAACTTGATACAACTTTGGTTGTCCTCACGAATAGTTACCGGACCACCTTGTTGCACACCAAGATCTTTAAACAGACTCAACAACCATACCAGCTCCTGGCTTGCTTCACTCAGTGATACATATTCCGACTCCATTGATGAAAGCGTGACACAATTCTGTCTTCGGCTAACCCAAGAAACTGCTCCGCCTGCATAGTGGAAGGCGAAACCAGTTGTAGACTTGCGTGTTTCAATATCGCTAGCCCAATCGGCATCGGAATGGCCAATTAGACCCTCATCGGTATTAAAATTCAACCCCCAGTCCTTCGTAGTATTCAGGTAACGGATCACTCTTTTGGCCGCGACATAGTCCGCTTCTGTTGGCGCACTCACCTTTCCGCCAAGTATCGCAACGCATGTCGCAACATCCGGTCTTGAGCACACCGCTATATAAAGAAGCGCGCCGACCAAACTTCTGTACATTGTAGCATCCGATAGTAATGAACTTTTTTTTTTTTTTTTACTTTAAATGATCTTTATTTCTGGTATTTGTGTGGTTTTACATGTATGAATTAACAAGTGACACAGATGCGTCTTTTCAACTTTAGTTCATTTGAAATTTTTAATTATTATTTAAAGTTTCTAGTCCTATCAGGCCTATTTTTAAGAAATACCACCTTGGTGGGATTGGTTTAAATTGGAAAAGGGAAACTACTTATAACTACTATTTACAACTTCAACTAACCTACAACTACTATATGCACCTAACCTACTATATACAAATTTCTTATCAAAGCATGTTCTGATACATTACATTTTTGTGCAAATTTAGTCTTAATTTCGTTTATTATAGAATCTATTTTGGCAATGCCTGCCTCTTCGTGTAAATTTGTTATTCTAGTGTCGAAAGGACGATCAAGTACCATCCTCAGCACTCTATTCTGAGCGACCTGGATTTTGTTCCTGTGAGTCTGTGCACATGATTCCCACACCGGAGCTGCGTAGAGCATCGCAGGTGCTATGATTTGTTTGTAGACGGCCAGTTTGTTCACCCTTGAGAGGCGGGATCTGCGGCAAATCAGCGGATACAGACACCTAACTAAGCTTGAACGCTTAACTAACGTCTTTTCTATATGCGAGCGGAACAGGAGCTTCTCATCGAATACCATTCCAAGGTACGTAACTTCAGCAGACCACTCAACGCTTGTGCCATCCATGACTACTGTGCAAGAAGATGCCGGTATCAGTTTGGGTGATTGCCTATGCAGGAACATGATAGTTTGGGTTTTGGAGGCATTGATTTTGATTTTCCAAGTTTTTGCATAGTCAGCAAAGGTGTCAAGGCATCGTTGTAATTTGTTTGTAATTTCGCGAGGCATTCTGCCCTTGACTGATATCGCGGTATCATCTGTGAACAGGAAGAACACGCAACCGTCTCCGAGGGGAGGAATGTCAGAAGTATACGAGCTGTAGAGCAAGGGGCCCAACAAACTGCCTTGTGGAATGCCTGCCGGGATGGAAAATTTGTCGGAGAGACAACCATTCAACGATACCTTGAACGACCTTTGCTGAAGGTAGTTACGGGTAATTTTGACCAAATGCAACGGTAAATTGAAATTGCAAAGCTTGCATATAAGCCCGTCATGCCAGACATTGTCAAACGCCTTTTCGACGTCTAGCAAGGCCATGGCTGTGGACTTGGATACAGCCTTGTTACTTCGAATGTTGTTCATCACCCGTACTAGCTGATGGGTGGTGGAGTGCCCCTTCCTGAACCCAAACTGTTCCGGTAGGAGAATATTGTTTTCCTCCACAAACTTGAGCAATCTATTGAGAATGAGTTTCTCGAACAATTTGCTCAGCGCTGAGAGGAGGCTGATCGGTCTGTAGCTTGACGGCAATGCTGGATCTTTACCGGGTTTGCGGATCGGTATGATTTTTGCTACTTTCCAGATGCTTGGAAAGTAGTGCAGTTCCAAACACCTGTTGAAGATTGCGGTTAGAAGAGACTGCACTTTCATGCTGAGTCTCTCCAAGATCAAGTTGAATATACCGTCAAACCCGGGAGCCTTCATGTTCTTGGTGCATTTCAGCGCTGAGCAAATCTGTTCTACCGTAATTCTATCCTCCGGAGGCACGGCACAAGGGGAGTAATCTACATTTTGGACGCATTGCGTCACCTGGTTTTCGAGCGGACTTTGGATAGTTGAGCCAAGCAAATGCGATGCAGCAATATGATTGCCAATCGCATTTGCTTTCTCTTGTGGGGTTATGAGCCGATTGTCATCATTTCCGACTCTGAGAGGTGGAACGGGTTTGGGATGAGTTTTCAGCACCTTGGCTACCTTCCAGAATGGACGGGAGCGGTCATCCAGATTCAGGACAACACGCCCGAAACTTTCATTTCGGATTGAGTCCATTCTGGAAGCATCTGCCTGTTCAGATCGGCCATTTCACGTTTCCTCGCTAGATCTCCAGTCCTCTGAAACTGGCGTCTACGCACATTTCTCAAGCGAATCAGTAATTGGGTGTGGGAATCAATGGCAACAAACTTACCCCTCACAGGAACATGTCGAACACACGTCTCGTCAGCCACGGATATGGCCTGGTGGAGTCCTTCAAGTGCCCGGTCGATGTCCTCTACGGTGTCAAGCGGCGGATTTTCATCGATGTTTCTGTCAACCACATGCCCAAACTGCACCCAGTTGACATGATGGTAATCTTTGCGCAGGCTTTGAGCAGGTGCCACGTGGGTGCCGACTTCAGCCACCACCGGTTGGTGGTCGGAACTGAGATCGTTTTTTTTTCCTTTGGTTTGTTTTTTTTCCGTCGATCTTGTTTTCCGTGCTGAGCACCAATGCTACCGACGTGCCAGGAAGGCAGCTCCCACACCTGGACCCTACCTATCGACCCATCAACTCATTAACCGGGGACCAACGGCTTTACTTCCCATCCGAAGGAAGGCGTGATCAGAGATGTTATGCCTCAGAACATCCCCGCGGCGCCGACTGGGATTGAACCCAGGCCTGCTGGGGTGAGAGGTAATCACGCTTACCACTACACCACCGGCGCCGTTAACTGAGATCGTTGATTGCCATCGGTTTGGATAGTCCAATGTTCGATAGAAAAAAGTCCAACGTGGAAGGGTTTCCCGCCGGAGAGATGAATGTCGGTTCAACAGGGAATTCCACTGTATACAGCCCATGCTGCGAGTGGTCGAAGAGCAGATGTCCGTTCTGATGCCGCTGATAGTTCCACCATGCTTCGTGTTGGGCATTTAAATCGCCCCCAATGACGAATCGTGAGCTCGTGCGAGTGATGGTGGTCAGATCATGCTTGAATTGGATGTCCAATCCATTACTGGCAGCATACTGACGAGGGCAGTAATGGTGATTCCACCTCCACACTAAGGGCCTCGATGATAGAAGTGCGAATATGCGGTAGCGTGCAGAACTTGATTCCTTTCTTGATGATGATCGCAACACCACCCCCCCCTGAAGTCGATACGATCAAGCCGGATAATGTGGTGATCAGGCAACCAAAAGCTGTCACCGGATTTAAGATGGGTCTCTGTTAGGAGGCCCACGTCGATACTATGCTTGCGGAGGAAGTCAGCAAGCTCGAGTCTTTTTGCCTTTACAGAGCATGCGTTCCATGTGACGACAGTTATCGGTTTAGACACCATACTGAATAAT